TTAGCAGTGGCTGCTACCTGGGCCTCCATTATTAAGGAGGTATCCAGGAGCACTCCCAAACTCCTAACCTCCGGTGCTGGCACCAATGGCCGGGAGTGGGATCCCTACCCCCAAACCACCCCAACTCAGGCAGAGGACCTCCGTCTTCACCAGGTTCAGCTTCAGCAGGCTCAGTTTAAGCCAACCAGCCACGGCTTGCAATGCCCGGTCCAGATCTTCCGGTCTGGAGTCCAACTGGCCACCCAACATCAGATAGAGCTGGGTGTCATCAGCATACTGATGGCACCGCAGCCCATGCCTACGGGCAATCCGGGCAAGGGGGCGCATATAGACGTTGAATAACACTGGGGACGGCACTGCCCCTTGAGGCACACCGCACTTGAGCGGGTGTCTCCTGGACTGCTGGACCCCTAGTGCCACCCTTTGTCCCCAATCCTGGAGAAAGGAAGCAAGCCATTGCAAGGCAAGCCCCTGTATGCCCACGCTGGCGAGGCAGTGGGTCAGCAACTGATGGTCGACCATGTCGAACGCAGCCGACAGATCTAACAGCAACAGTACCGCTGAACTGCCCTGATTCAGATGCCTCCGGAGGTCATCTGTCAGAGCAACCAACGCCGTCTCCATCCCGTGTCCCAGGCAGAAGCCGGACTGGAAAGGGTCTAGTACGGAAGTGTTATCCATAAAGCCCTGCAACTGTATCGCCGCCGTGTAACATTGTGTGTTTGCGTGTCTCACCATGAGAGAATGAGTGAGTGAGTGCAGACGATTAAGCTGTGAAGTGTGCATGCCTGTCCATACTGTCATCGAGGTCAGGTGAGTGAAGAGCAAGACAAAATGGTTCCCACTGTGCCAAAACGCTAAGCCACTGACTTTATGATCAGTGATTTCATCCAGGATGCTGCAGTCTATTGTCCTTGCTTTTGTGTTTATCAAACTATAGAATATTGTCCTGACTGCACATTTCAACCATAAAATGACAGGAATTTGTGCGCGCTACTACTACAAAGGCAAAAATTGCCCCAGGGTGTCTATGAAGCATAGCATATGTTTACAGACCTTTAAACAAGCCCAGCCTACATTTAGTTTGCAATTAACCAAGCTAGACATGTTTTATTTTGCTGCAATCATGCTAACATTTTCTTGCATTCCCAGTTTATCATCTCTATCTACACCCATAGATGTGCCCAGTGCTGGAAATTGCTTCATATAATTCATGCTTGTAAAGGAGTCCCTTTCTTCCATCTGGCTTCATATTTCTAAGGAGCATTTCACTTCTAAGGCACAGTGAATCCTTGAAGACATCATTTATAGATCTTTCTCTTTAGTGAGTGTCATCTTTTGACATTTCATTCATAATGTACTTAAAAGCTTTAATTAACACAGTTTGAAAGTTGATACTATCTTATCTTCTCCTGAATAGACAGGTCTAAAAGCACTAACCCATGATGAATGAGCCCCACATTTTATAGCTGAAGCTGGGAAACTAAAAACCATTCTAATGATAGCTGTAAAATGATATCAAGGGAGCTTCTGAGATCATCTCATTCTCCCCGTCACACACATCAGTACTTTACTAGTAATAAGCAAAGAAAAATAAACGACAGCAATCTCCCCTGGTGTAACATTTGTGTAGGAATCATGTACTCCCTTTCCTGTAACTGTATCACACTTCACAGTCATTACCCTTTTCCTTTATTGTTGTATATATGATTTAAAATGAACAACACTGAATAACAGATGACTCTTCTGGTCTTTTAAAAGCAAACGTGATAGCAAAAAAACGAATGCTGGGGGGATTGACCTTGTAACATGCTCAGAGTTGTTTCCTGATTGAACCCTTCCAGTTGTATGTGGCAAATGCTAAACGCATTGGATTTCACGGCAGGAGAATCAGCAGAACAATCCTATACCCTGCCACTGAACAGCCTAGGCAGCAACTCATTTCAACAGCAGCATAAGTGGAAAATATACCAGCACCGCACTAATACTTCCTCTGTGCTGGTGTAGAAACAGGCAGCATCAGGATGACACTGGGTGAGGATCAGAGCTTAAACCTCCCTATATGACTCCATGCTCCCAGCACTGAAGTAACAGGGCTGTCTAGAAAGCCAGCATATCACTCTATGATTAGTGGATGGCAGTGGAGTTACCATGGAGTTTGGTGGAATTGCTATGCGCCCAGTTACTTGGCAGTGTGTAGGTGGGGACATATTTCCCCTCTGCTGAGTTAGCATAGGACACTGACTAGTGGTACCAGGAATTCACCAAAACTCACAGCTTAGATTTGGGTCCCGGTCACACTGGCCAGAGAACGCGGGGGGGAGGCGTGGCTTTTCGCTCCGCCACACTTGTGACCCGCCCGAACGCGATCAGACACGACGGCAGGGAATCGGGGGTAGCATTTTGTCAGTGCACGTTTCTGGCATGCTTCATGCAGCGCTGGAGCGATCAGATGGAGGACGTCAGTCTGTGGCCCGTCACAAGCGGATAATACTGGTGTTTCTGCAGTAGCTTTGAACTACGAATCTTTGGCGGGATGTGATGGCTTGCCAACGGGTGCGCGACGCTTGCCCGATGTGCTGGTGTGATTGCGCCCATTAAATCCGCCTGGCATCCGTGAGTATCCCCGCAGCAACTCCTGTGTATGATCGGAGCCAGGGACTGTTAAACTGCCGCACCAAGTCCATTTGGCTCCGCAGGCGAGCCAAAATCAGCTCGCCACCTAAACAGGGTCGGGGTGGGATATTCAGACGGGCCCTCAGGACACGGTGGTCCGACCATGGCACTGCCAGAGCAGTGATCCAGTCCACCGCCACTCCTGCCGCAAAGATCAGATCGAGCGTGTGACCAGCCCGATGCGTAGGGGCCACCATGGACGGCACTAGGTCCATAGCCCAGCTAGAGGTCGCGTCCTTAGCATGGACGTTGAAATCACCCAAGACCCAAGATTGGATTTATACCCCACCCTTCACTTGGAATCTCAGAGCAGCTTACAAACTCCTTTCCCTTCCCCTCCCCACAACAGACACCCTGTGAGGTAGGCGGGGCTCAGAGAGCTCTGACAGAAACTGCTCTTTTTAAGAACAGCTCCGACAGCACTATGGCTTGCCCAAGGTCATCCAGCAGGTGCAAGTGGAGGAGCGGGGAATCAAACCCGGTTCTCTCAGATTAGAATCCGCGCATTTAACTGCTACACCAAACTGGCCCTCCACCAAACTGGCCCTACAGTGATGTGTTTGGATTTAATTTTATAAGCTTCTGCTAAAAATTTGGCAACACATGTAGGGTTGACATCTTCTAAAAAATAAATTAAAATATTTTTCCTAATGAAGACACTATGCTGGAGGTATTTAGACCAGAATTGCTTACGTTGTAGGGCAAGGAGGGGACTCTCTAAAATAATATGGGATAATGAATCAAGAGTATCTAACTCACATGGACAAAGGCATAAAAGTTATTTTTAGGAAATGTAGGACATTCTGCATATTTCTTGTCTCTTTTTTCACATATGACAAGCACACACATCTGCTACCAGTATGTATTAGAGAAACATATGCCAATGCTGCATAGCTACATGGGCACACAATGGTGGACAAGTGGGATAGTCAATGAAGTCATGTGCCTAGGTGATTAATACAACTTTCTAAATATATTTTGGGCTTGTTTGCAGGGCATTAACAATTCAAATGATAAATTATTACAGACTGAGAAAATTATCCCTAGGCGCAGCAATTGCGCCATGTCACGGAGTACCCCCAATTATGTCTGCAAGTCTGCTGGGCTGCTTCATTAATGTTTCTAGGCCTCATGCCCATGAGGAAAACTTTACCAGGTAGATGGAACTTGCTAAATACTTTTGAAGAGGCACCAGAGAGGTTTACCCAGTGATCACAGTGTGGGACCACTCTCTGAACAATGCCAATCCTTTCCCCTAGGCAACACACCCATGATTTAGATTCTTTTTTCCCCTCCAGACTCCATCACAGCATGCAAATTTCAGAAAATCCATCTGTTCTAAAGATCGACTGCTGTTCATAGCTGCCACCAGTCTGCTGCTCCACTTGAGAAATACCTGGGGTGACCAGGTAGGCCCCCAGGGCCCCCAGGGGGTTCCTTCAGAACAAGGCATAGACTTAAACCACACAGAAGAAGGAAAACAAGGAAGGTTTCTTCAGAGGCAGGGATTTGGTGTGGAAGAACAATACCTTCTCTAAGATTAAGGTCCAGGAACAAGTGGGGTCATGACAGTTTTTGTTCTGTAAACCCTTCAGGATACATACTTTTTTTTTTTTACTTTCACATTTAACCCTTCAAGACGTTCCATCACCCACCCTAGGTAAAGAGCAGGCTAACATTCTGGTCCCCATTTGTTAAAAAATGACCACATACTTTGTTCAGCACAGTTTATTAAACAAAAACTCTTTTAAACACAATTTGTTTAGCCAAATTTGTTATTTGTGTGAAATCTCTGAGAGATAAAAATTTGATGGGGGAGTGATGTCCAAGCTACAAGTGACTTATAGTGACCCCATGGAGTTTTCAAGGCAAGGGACTTTCAGAGGTGGTTTGCCATTGCCTGCCTCTGTGTAGTGACTCTGGCATTCCCTAGTAGTCTCCCATCCAAATACTGATCAGGGCTGACCCTGCTTAGCTTCTGAGATCAGGCTAACCTAGGCTATCCAGGTCAGGGCAAGAACTTAGTTACAGAATCATTACTGATCACCTGTTTCTATCTTGCTTGATCTGAATTCCTCGATCAGTCCTTCAGTCGCGAGGTCCTTCATACTTTCTTGCTCTGTAATCATCATGCTGACCATATTTTTGTATTAAAGGGGGCCTTGTCTGATAACTGAAGCTCCTCCCTTAGTACAATAAGTTAGGCCAGAAAGTTTCAGTTCCATCCAGATCTCTAGGCTTCATGAGACAAAATCCATTTGTGGCCTCTGCTTAAGAAAAAGAGAGAGAGACTCTGCACTCCAAATAAATTCCAAGTTGCTATCCTGCTCCAAGGAGATCAAATCATTGTGCAGCATAAGTGTCAAAGATTCTCAGCTGACAGCAGTAAGATTTTTAGATCTTCCATATGTAATGCCTCTACTAAAGTTAGCTGGTTTACAAGATGCACATAATCCTTTTTTAAAAGAGCAACCTAGAAAGTAAAAGAAGATTAATAAATTCCACTAGCCACTGCATTATAGACTTATCAAAAATATGTGCAAATAACAGTCAGCATTTTGAACAGTGTGTTTAAAACATGAGCCGATGTGTACATTTAGATCACCTAGAGAGGCCCTGCTTGGTGTGCCACCATTGGTAAAGATATGATGTGTGACAAGGCCATCCACTTAGATTATGGAACTCCCTGCTCGTGGAGATCTGCCTTACACCAACACTTCCATGCTTCAGGAAGATGATTCAAAATTACTCTTTTTCATAGGATATTAGTTATTGCCTATTTACGGGGAGTTATTTGTTAATGGCAGGTTGGCAGAGGTTCAGGATTTTGCTGATCTGGGGTTTTCATTTGATTTTGGATGTGGGGAGGGGGGAGTCATGGGAGCTACTTCTGGGTTTTGTTTTCTTTACTGGTCCTTTCTTCATTCTCTTTATCTGATAAGATTTTAGTTCATTTACTGATGGTATTTTGAATATTTATTTTTAGCATCTGAAAATACATTTTTAAATGTACACACACACACACACATATACTGCTTTGTGAATATCCTACACTAAATATTGTAATGTTTTAATAAAATCAAAGTACTTCCCCAATAGTCTCAATGCCTTTTTTGGTTACTGCTTCAAATTTTGTCTTGCCCACTGCTGCTTTGTTCATTGCTTCTCCGCTTATGAGGTGGTCTCCTGTTTTATATTTTTGTTAAACTAATCTTGGATTTAGGGTTTTTAAAAAATTATGCCATTTTGCAGATATTACATGACAAAGGGAGACTGAAATATATAAATAAATATGCTGCCTGAGGCAACTGCCAAGATTAATATGGAAGCATGGCTGGCTTTGAAGGAATACATAGTTTATATCATATTACTTTGCTTTATCAAAGAAAAAATATTTCTGTCCTTTACGCCTCAACTGATCACTTCCCGAAATCAGCTTCTCTTCTGAATTGTGTGTAGTTTTGAACTGCCACTGACGTGTATATATGCAAACATACACAAAGGTTAAATACCATATGTTATGCGGCTGAATCTGGATACTGACACATACAGACACACATATGCAGGGTCAACACAATTCGGATTACTACCACATTTTCACTAACCACTGCGTATGTTACAAGCATCTCACCTCCACAAGTGTTGAATTTGGAATTGTGTGCAGATTAATCTCATCATTCCTTCCCCCCCACCTCTCAAAAAATGAAATTTCAAGTCCTTGTGTGACTGAACAGCTAAGGTAGAAAGTGACTAGGCCGTGTCTGGTGAAATTTCAAAAGCCAAATGGTCAAATGAAGGTATCCTTTTGGTATTTACTAGAAACATATACCAGAGCAGGGCTTCAGCACCATGTAAAGCTCTCTGTCCCCTTTCCTGTGAAGAGTGGAAGAAGAAACCTTGCAAAATAAGCTAGAAAGTGCAGGTCTGTTTAGTTATTTGAAAAGATCACAGTATTTTCTCAATTACATTACCAGGGCACAGAATCTTTATTTCTTGTTTCATGTATTATGCAGACAGTCCTAGATATGCTTCCCACACTAATAGCTTCCTCCCATTCTTTGTAAATAAACTCATCTATTTATTTGGCCAAATTATTAGCTGAATGTAGAGTGTCATCTGCTTTACAGTCCTAGCACATGACCAAAGAGCCAACCTGTGTTTCCAACATCAAGAACTTGAATACCCCTCCTAAAAGCTGAGGTAAAATGAGGAAGAGTCGAGGAACTTAAGAGCCAGCGTAGTGGTACTGGTCACAGTGTCAGAGCTGATCTGGGGAACCCAGATTCAAATCCCCAGTGTGCCACTGACACTTGCTGGGTGACCTTCTGCCAATCACACACTCTCAGCCTAATCAACCTTGGAGGGTTGTTATGAAGATAAAATGGAAGAGAAGCTAATGATGTAAACTACTTTGAGTCCCCAATGGATAAATGACACAAGTTTATGGCTGTTCCTCAAAACATTCAAAACAGAATTGTTCAGCAGGGTCTTTTTATAAAGGGAACAGCAAAAAGAAGAAGAGAAGAAGAGATTGGATTTATACCCCGCCCTTCACTACCCAAGGGAGTCTCAGAGCAGCTTACAAACTCCTTTCCCTTCCCATCCCCACAACAGACACCCTGTGAGGTAGGTGGGGCTGAGAGAGCTCTGACAGAAACTGCTCTTTTTCAAAAACAGCTTTTATCAGAGCTACGGCTTGCCCAAGGCCATCCAGCCAGGTGCAAGTGGAGGAGTGGGGAATCAAACCCGGTTCTCCCAGATTAGAGTCTGCGCACTTAACCACTACACCAAACTGGCTCTCAATAATAATGTCTGTGAAACTTTAGGTAGCTGTCATTGCTTTTTTCATTGTACACCCCAGTTTTGTGATCCAGTTTCGTTTCACTGTTTGTACATACCACACTATATTGTATTGTGTATACTATATGGAGGGAGGCGCAGTTAAGTTTTGGAGAGATTTTAATGGTTCTATCTTAAGATCTTAAATGCAATATTAGATTTCATTTTTATATGCAGCATTCAATATACCGTTACCCATTCTCAGTCCTTGTGCTATGATAGGATAAGCATACCTTCTGAAGGGCTTGCTGAGTTTCCTCTGTCAGTGATGTACGTATTTTTGTTGCAAGGTCCAAACTTTTTTTTTCATTCCTCTCTGAAATGGTATCACCAAGCAACACTTTCTTCCATGAAGTACTACAATCAAAATGTTTTGAATAAAAGTCTCATACTTCTGAATGTTACATAAGGCTAAAATCAAAGAAGGGCACACAAACTGGTATATTTGCAGAACTTACAACTGGTGAGTTTCAAGACACAACAGCTTGAGCACTGTCAGAAGCCTCCAGGAGGGCCCATCCCACCCAAACGTCAGATTGCTAGAAATGGAAAAGAACAAATCACTAAATTGTACAAATTGTTAATTTCAAGCAGTATGCAAGAACAAGAAAAAAGCAGTTGCTTTCTTCTATCAATTTATATATCCAATAACAGCAAATAAAAAATTGTTAAGAGGAAGACGCATCTGTGATGGACTGTCAAGGGTTAATGTCTAAGAGAGTCTGAGAACCTTTGAGTGACAGGCTGTTTAAATAGAATTCTGTTGAGACAGTCATTTAAGGACTGGCAGTTGAAGAAGAGACCATTAAACACTGACTGTGGACTGGGAAGAGAGTCAGTGGATCAAGGAGGATCCTCATTCAAGCCAAAAAAAGGGAAATAGCTTCTAGCAAAGAGAAGTGATCCTTGTCCAGTTAAGAAGAGAAATAGCTTCTAGAAAAGAGGAATGATCCCTGGTTTGTGTATTATAAAGAAGGATTTTGGGAACTTGGTTGAGTGTTCCTACCTTCTAAACTTCATGTGTGGTGAAACTCAGAAACCTGTGCTTGAGGGTTTAAGCAGATGAACAGTAAGCCTCAACGTTTTAAAGACCTTGTTGAATAGCAGAAACACTTACTTGTTGGCAACAAATTACTTGGTGCTTGTGTGAATAACAAGTTAGCTCAGTTTTATTATCTGTTCACCTCATACGTCTTCCACCTGATTCCACATGACCTTCTCTCCTCGAAGTTAAATAAAACATTTTATTTTGAACTTTCAAAAGCCTCTCATGTGCCATTTCAAAAGCAAAATGTAAGAAGGTGATTTTTGTCTCTTCCCTCAGTTCCCTGGGCTGGGCCAGCGCGCAGGCGCACACACACACAAGCAACTGGGTGAGACAGCCATAGACAAACAAATAAGAAGAAAATAAAGGGGCTGCTCAGCAAGAAAGAAGACAGAAGGGAGAACCCTGCATGTGAGGGAGGAAAGAGGGCGAGATCATCATAGCATGTCAGATCCATGGAGGAAAGCTCTATGAAGAGCCACTGTAGCTATCATGTTGTTCACTGGATGTCCTATACTGTCTGCTGTCTGACTGCATTTATCCATTTATATTTTGTAATCCGCCCTGAGTCTCAGTAAGAAAGGTGAGCTATAAAGTAATGTAAATATTGTAGCTAAGCAGAACCTCCACGTTCACAAAACACCAGATGCAAGGGATGCAAAAAAAAGAGGAAGGCTCTTGCCTTCATGCCTGATTTATATGATCTGAGGAGACATCTGATTCATATTAGGAACTGTAGACTACCCGTTACTATAAATAGGTTCTTACTGTTAATATCTATGCTTTGCTTCACCATTGTTTCGGATCACCAGTTCTAGATTTCTACAAGTCAGATCTTAGTGCACTGTGCATTGGATGTCCCATCCTGTTGAATGTATTGACCTATTACCTAGCAGTTCGAAAGCAAGAAATTGCAAGTAGATAAATAGGTACCACTTTGGTGGGAAGGTAACAGCGTTCCGTGCGCCTTGGTGTTTAGTCATGCCGGCCACATGACCACGGAAATGTCTTTGGAAGGCGCTGGCTCTTTGGCTTGGAAACGGAGATGAGCACCGAAACCCTAGAGTCGGATTCAACTGGCTTTCGAGCAAGGGAACCTTTACCTTTACCTTTTTTACATACATACATAAAGGTAAAGGTTCCCTTGCTCGAAAGCCAGTCGAATCCGACTCTAGGGTTGCGGTGCTCATCTCCGTTTCCAAGGCAAAGAGCCAGCGCTGTCCGAAGACGTTTCCGTAGTCATGTGGTCGGCATGATGAAGAAAAAAAAAAAGTGGCCGGCATGACTAAAGACCAAGGCGCACGGAACGCTGTTACCTTCCCACCGAAGTGGTCCCTATTTATCTACTTGCAATTTCTTGCTTTCGAACTGCTAGGTTGGCAGGAGCTGGAACTAGAGACAGGAGCTCACCCTGTCTTGCGGCACCCAGGTCTTGAACCGCTGAACTACTGACCTTCCACAGCCTGCAGTTCAGCGTCTTAACCACTTGAGCCACCGCAGCTCATACATACATACATACATACACACACCTTTATTGGCATGTTAACAATCATGAATAATATTTTGTGTAATCTGCCTTGAATCCCAGTGAGAAAGGTGAACAATAATATAAAAAAATTAAAATCACCATTTGTGTGTATATGTACATGTATATCAATGTATATATACATATAAACCAATCTTCCAGTTCTCTTCTTAGGATTTCTGGTATTCTTACTCTGTTTTAACTGTTTCTCCGGTCCTCCTACTCTAACCCAACCACCAAGGCAGGAAGAACAGGCTCTCCATTTAGGAAAGTTAGTTGTCCCTTCTCTGTTTCAGATTAAATATTACTCCCCTCAAGAATGCTCATCTCTCTGGTTACAAAATGTAAAAATGAATCAAAAGAAATATTTTTAATATACATTGTTTCTTTAAAAACTAAATAGCCAAGCCTTGGGACCTTCCTGTGAACAGACAGTCTTGTGCTTTCTCTTTCTCACACACATACACACAGTTGAGGTAACCTGATCAAGAAAACTGTAGAAAGTCTAAAATTCACATAACTGCAATTTGGCATCCAGAAGGCTTGTAAACATAGTATACAAACCATGCATTTTGCCATGTTAATAAACATAGCCCCCTTGTGCTGGGGATGTAACAAATGCCCAACTGTAAGAAATTATTTTGGCACTATGTTTTTAGGTTCGTCAGGGGGAATCTTTCAGATTCTTTTAAGATCCATTCGCGTATGTACACTGCTAAAATGTACACATGGGAATGAATCTAAAAAGGATCTGAAAGATTTCCCCTGACGAAGCTGCACACAAAACACGTAAGGGTTATACAATCATTAAAGATTCTTTCCTTCGCACCATCTGTCTTCTCACCTCCATTTTGCTTTTGTGCAGCCCCCCCCTTTTCTGCACTGTGCTTTTAGCACAAATAATATTATCAAGGTTACAGACTTGGGTCCACCAGAAGATGTCCATGAGCAGAAGGGAGGAGCTAATTTTTGCTGATTCCTCCCTCCCACTGCACACTTCTGACTCATCCCTGTATGCTCTTTCTGTGGGTCCTTTGTCTCCCAGGAGCAGCATTTGGTGGGGTGGATTTTAGTCTGAAGCAGGAGAGCAGAAGCAAGAAAGTTGCACTCTAAGAACAGAAATCCTTTCTGTCCACAGAAATGTCCAGAGCTCCAAGCCAAATATAGCACAAGGTCACAGAAGAAATGTTTTTTTAAAAAAAACTCTAAATCTCGTGTGTATGTGTGTATACTTACTTTAAAAGTTTGTGCTCTTGCAAAATGGAAACCTTTGCATGCCTCTGCTTATCCTCTGGAATGAGATATTTAAGAAGAGTATCTATAGGAAAAGAGATGTTTGAAGTGAACAAGAGTTACAATAAAGAGTGGTGCACCTGAAATATTCTGGCATGGCCCTCCATGATCCCCAGTGGCAGGATGACAATGAGTCTGGCTCATTTGGCCATGATGGTATATGATGAACAGTAAAGAAGAAAATCTATAACCACAGTTTTGCTGCCCACTGTCAGTCCACTGCCGCAAGGCCACCAGAGCACCCACTGCCTGTCCCATTGGCTTGCTCCTCCCAACAGCCTAGGGCCGGAAGGATGAGCAGCCAGCAGAGGAGGAGCATGCCGCTTAACTGAGCAAGAGCAGCCAAGTCATCATGTACATCTGGTATTGTTGTTCCATTATGTGTTCACGTGATGAGAGACAGAGAAAGAAAACGTTTATGTGTTTACTACATGCTTCACTCCTTGCCTCTATAATGGACACATATAACTTGACCTGGCTTAATTTACTCAAGTTATCTGGTTGCTGATATGAGTTGTTCCCTGCTTTCTTCCTGAGGCAAAGTTGCAGTCTGGATTGTGTGGACTGGGGGAGGGGGTATCATGCACAGATGGCACTGCTTAGCAGGCAGGGTTTTGTAAGCACATGCAGTAACTATACCCCTTTGACAAATGCAGTATTTTCTATGGGCTTTCCCACACAGCAGCTGCAGGCTATATCCACAAGTTCAACAGAGAAACCTTTTTTATTATTTTAGCAGTCATATAATGATGGCATAGGAGTCACAGTTTTTCCCCCCACCTACATCACCTGGGTAACATGAAAAAAGGTCCAGACCACATAAGATAATTTTTACTGCATTTATACCACAGCTTTTCCCCAAAAAAGGGACCCAAGTTGGTCTACCTCATTCTCCTCTCCTCCTTTTTATCTTCACAACAACCCTTTGAGGCAGGAGTCTGTAACTGGCCCAAGGTCACCCAGCAAGCTTCCATGGCAGAGTGGGGATATGAACCTGACTACACCGTGCTGGCAGTTCTGCTCTATGCCAGTAAATGTTATCCCAGCAACACTGAACAAAGCAGCAATCTTTTTCAGTAGTGGCTCCCATCTGGTGCAACCAGCTCCCTGAGGAGGGGGACAACACCCCTAGAAGTTTTAGAAGGCACTTTAAAGCCATTTTATCTGCTAGGGGTGTTTGATGGGGTTTTACTGTATTATGCATGGTGCAAATTAGAATTGTAAACTGCCTTAAGCCACAAAGGAAAAGCAGGGTACAAGAATTTTAAACAAATAAAAAACCAAGGACTACTCCTGTTGCCCTGCCTCATTTTGCTTCACAGAGCCATGCCCTACTCATTTTTAAAAGATGCCTGCCCAAGACTATGGTTTATAATCACACGAGCTCACCTAAACCCAGATTAGTACACTGCAGGGCTATGGAATCAGTAGAATTTAAAGCCCAGTGAGCAATGACCACCACCGTTCTAAGCCCCAGTTCCTTTGTATGACCCTACAATACCAAATCACAGCCTTACCTGTGCCAACATGCACACTGTTGTGTGGATTACTGGTGGCAATGAAACCATATTCGAGAAGCAGGCGCTGATCATCATGAGGGCCATAGTTAATAAATACTTCTTTGTATTTTGCACAGCGTGAAAGCGTCCGTATTTCGTAGCATCGTGTCTTTTCATTAAATGCAGCTTTCACCTTGAGGTGGGGGTGGAAAGATGCAATTTTAGCTTAAACAAAATTCCTGCAAGGAAAACACTAGTTAGTTGTTGTAGATTCTCCAGGCTGTATGGCCATGGTCTTGGCATTGTAGTACTTGACGTTTTGCCAGCAGCTGTGACTGGCATCCTCAGAGGTATAACACAGAAAGATGGAGTACTCTCTGTGTCAATGTGAGAAGAAAAATGGTAGGCAGGTAATTTATATCTACTCAGGAAGGTGGGGTAGGGATGAGTAGAGATGTAAAATTTCCAGAAATTTTGAAGCTCGGGAAAAAAACCCATTTTTTTCTGGTTTTTCCCCAGAAAAAAAACAAAAATTTCTTTTTTCTTTTCCAGATTGAAAGTCATTCTGTTACTTTAGGAACATAAAATATGACTATGGACATTTTAACTTGGTATGAAATTATCACAACTAGCATATTAAAAATATAGTGTATCCAAACAATTATTACAAACAGAATACCCACCCACATGCAAAAACAAAACTGAAACCTTTTCCTTTTCTTGTGACAATAGCACCTCCTAAAGGAAGAAATGCATCTTGTTCTTGCATTGGAGAGTTCAGTTTGTAACCTAGTATTTGTTTGTCCTCAGTGCACAGAAATTAGATCAATCTGATACCATATATATAACAAAGTCTCTGGTCGAAAGGTTATCTTCCTGTATCTCCCCTCAAGGACAGCCAGAACTAAAGGCCAGAACTGCTTGGGGAGAAAATCCAAGAAGATACAATTTCTTATCGACCACCTTCAGCCATTTAGATTGGAAGTTGTCTAATAATACCAGATTGTGTTAACCCTCATGAAACTCAAGGGGTAGACATATTTCTCAAAAGGCTTCCTCCCTCCAGACAAAGACCAGCCCCTACTTGCTTAGTTTCAGCAAGACACTTTGCCATCTCCTGAGACCCAGAGTTCCCTTGTCAGAGTTCCACTAATCAACTGTATGTTCATGCTTGTCAAGTGGTTTATAAAGGACACGGAACTAAAGGAATTAAAAGTCTTCTTTCTTATACATGCAGCCTATGCCAGTATTCTAAGTAGTGTATTCAAATTATTTTTCCCTCAGACCCCTTGCTCCTAACAGCTCCACTGATTCTGGCCACTATTCCAGATTATTGGGCACAATTCCTCATTTTAAATTGGTACTAACAACATAAGGCTGTTAATAATAGGAGCTTTTGGAGGTCATTAATTCAGAGGGTCATCGTAAGTCAAAAGAGACTTGGTGGCACACAACACACACAATAATGTAAATTTCTAAGAAGCCTTTTCATATTGAAGTATTACAATATCAAGTAATGGCCAAATATGTGAGCATGCATCACAAGGTGAAATACAAAATGCTTGATAAAATCAGAAGTCACTTGACCTGGGTGTTCCAAGCAGAGCTAAAGGATGAATTTGATCACAATTCAAAACAAGAAAAACTATTTTTCTAATGCTATACAGTCATCTTTGGCAGCATTTATTAGTTGCACACACTGAGTTTGCAATTACCATGTGCCAGTCTCATTATATCCATTCCAATTCCACATCCATATTTGATCACATTTTAAATTAGCTACCTGGACCGATGGACTGTGATTTAGTAGGTCTAAGTACGGGGCTAATGCATAGTTATCTGGTTCTCTAGAAAAACATTCCTTCTGTGAATGCTTCATATATACTGTTCTTGTATTTATGGTGCACCAAGCCCACTGGAAGGCACTGTAGTTAAAAACAGACTGCACGTCTTCAGGAAACAGAGGTTGCAAGGAAAGGAAAAACCTCTTGGACGAGTTATACAGCTCCTGCACCAGACTTCTTTGTTCATGGGCCTTTCTTCTCAAAGGCTCGGGAAACAGGTCCACTGCGTCTTGCTCCAAATACACAGGACAGTTGTATGTTTCAGGTAGAAGATCCAGGTAAGGATGCCACAGAGACTTCTTGTGAGACCATTTTTCTGCTATTAGATATGTACACAGTGCTGTCAAAGGAGAAATTGGAGGCCTCCATCTATTAAAAAGGCAAAAGAAAATCTCAAAACCAGAAACATGTTCCCACACATTGCACACATGAAGTTCTAAAATGCATAACTAGTGCAGTCTCTGCTAACTACCCAAAACTGCTCTTACTTGAACAATATTCCCTTGAAGTGACATCCTAAGCAGACCTTTCTAAATCCATTGAAGTCAATGGGCTTAGAAGTCAATGAGTGTACCTCTGCTTAGGAAAGCACTGTCAGTCACTGTTCTCTATACAAAGTGCTAACAGCTTGCTCCAAAGAAAGTATGTTTTAAAATTTCATTAGAATTAACAGCTTTTTCAAACACTTAACTCTGCACAAGTACCTTAAAACCCTGTGGGGATTAAGAAAACTTAGCTTTTTCTGAACTGCTCCCTTCTTCTGCTTCTATATTTATCTATTTAAAAATTAGCAAACATGCAGACCAATATTCTAGATTTTTTTAAACAGATTTTGAAATTAACATTTTCTGCACCCTATTTTCTCCCCTTTCATTATTAGCCATTATTTAAAATGTTTTTAAAGGTTAACTTTCCTGGTGATCCTATTTTCCATGTTATCGTTCTGTTTCTGAATATGCACTTAGTAGCACCTAAGCAAAAGATGCACCTTTCATAAACTCTCCTCTCTGTTTGGTTCTACTGAAAGCAATGGTAATCATTCACATAAAGAAAGACACACACAGTGGGCTCCAAACACAAAACTCAACAAATACAAGGTTTTAGTAAGAGAGAGACCAATTTACTTTATAATATATTCTCCGAGGTAGCTGTTAAGTACAGTATCAGTGGTGAGCAAGCATTTTTCAGGCAATGCAATGATCAACTGTCCTACCTGAAAGTTTTAAAAACAATCAGAGTTAATATACTTCCAAATACATTTTACATTCAGATATGTAACAATCCAGAAGCACTATTCTTGCACTGATAACACTTGATTACAGACTGATGTAGAAGAAAAGATTGATACGCCCATTTCTGATTGGGTGAAACTCGTTATCAAGTTAAGTTAAATAATTAGGAGAGCTCTTGGAGCCAGCCTTGTTCTTGGAAGACCAAGTTGGTGTGGTTATTTTCTTATCACCTGCAATTTCATTATGAAGTTATTTCCCCTTCGAGACACAACCAACACAGGCATACTTAATCTTGACCAGAGACGCTACCAGTGGGGGAAAGGTTTGACCGAAGAATTGGGGTATCTCCTGGATGTGGTTGCACTCCCCTAAACAAGGAGGCCTATAGCCTGGGAGTGCTGCTGGACTTGGGCCTCCTATTGCATAAGCAGATGGCAGCGGTGGCCAGGGGTGCCTTTCACCAGATTTGGCTGGTGACCCACCTGCAGCCCTTCCCGGTTACATCTAAATTATATTACTGCATGAGCTCTACATGGGGCTGTCCTTGAAGATTGTCCAGAAGTTCCAATTGGTACAGAATGCTATGGCCACAATGTTGGCTAGAGTGGGTCATAGAGACCATATCACTTCAGTCTTATTACGTCTACACTGGCTCTCAATTTGTTTCCACGTTCAATTCAAGGTGATGGTATTGATCTTTAAAGCCTTGTATGGCCTAGGTTCAGCATACCTGAAGGATCGTCTGTGTACATATGAACCTATCCATCCACTTTGGTCATCTTTGGAGGCCCTGATTTGGGTGTGCCTGCCATCTGAGACTAGATGGATGGTGACTTGAGGAAGGGCCTTTTCAGTTATGGCACCAAAACTTTGGAACTCTCCTGCCAGGGAGATTCATCTGTCCTCCTCTATCATTGCCTTCCACCAGTGATTGAAGACTTTTTTGCTTCGTTTGGTATACCCACAATAATTGTTATTGACCCTTCTCCCTGGTTGTGTTGTTATGTATTTGTGTGTCTACAGGCTTTTATTGGCTTTGTGTGTGGCCTTGGGTCAGTCATAAGTTTTTTCAGAGCTGTTCTCTCAAGGGCAGTTCTCAAGAGAGCTCTCTCAGTCCCACCCACCCCAGAGGGTGTCTGTTGTGGGGAGGGGAAGGGAAAGGGATTGTAAGCCGCTCTGAGACTCCTTCGGGTAGTGAAGGGCAGGGTATAAATCCAATCTCCTCTTCTTCTTCTTCTTGTTTAAATATTTTATATATACCTTTTTTAAAATGCTGTTTTAATGTTTCATTTTCTGCTCTTTTGAGACCCTATTTGAGTTGAAAGTTGGCAAAGAAAAGTTTTAAATAAATAAATACTGACAGAATGTTTCTGTAACCAGGCTGGAATACTGTAACATAAGGCCTACATAAGGCTTGCTTGATACAGAACCCAGCTGCTTATCTGTTGAGCATGCAGGTGTGACCGCACCTATTTTTCAAAGCTTTGCTGGCTACCTGTACATTCCAGGTTCAACTCAAGGAGCTGGTTCTTACCTAAAAACCCTTAACTTGGGACACACAAACATGAAGGATGTTCTTTCTGAATAAACTCAGTTACTTACTAAGACTATCAAATCAGTTTCTTTGTCCTGTGATTTAGATAACTGGGCCCCAAATTTACTGCCACATTTCCTACAAAGCTGCAAGATTTATTTGATTAGTTAGCTAACGCTTTAAACTGCAGGGCTGACAGCAAGTAAAATCTGTAAAACTCAAAGGATTTACCATTATGACAGAAATGCCTTCCTTTCACCAGATCTGATTAAGTTACAGCTCTTTCCTTCCAGTTTAAATTCAAAGTACAAACATTATTAGTGAAATTATATTGCTTCCCAAAAGCAGCTGAAAATGACAGTGCTCAGTTGAAACCAATGTAATTACTGCAATGCAATAAAGAAACTTTAATTTCTTACTGGGGAAAAAAGCTGAGTAGAAATAAAAATTAATTAATTAATTAAACAACTCCTTTCTGCCAAGTTGGATTTAATTACTCTCTTCCACTAAGCATTACTTCAACATAGAAATACTTAGAGTTGTCCACATAGGCAGTCCCAACACTTTTATAGAGCAGCATAGTGGGGTGGGTGGGATTAAACTACCAATCACAGTGCTGTGCTGTTAACGGCTTGGGGTAACCACCCTCAACCCAAGCACATTATTACACTATAACAGAAGATAGGGGAGGTTTCTGGAGGGTGCGAAAGAAAAAAACAAACTGTGCTTTTTACTTTCATCCCCTCTTAAACTTTTCCCCTGCAGCCCCTGATCAGGAATGTTCTACTTACATAGTGCTCTAACCTAACCAAAAGCACTCCTGTTAGGGGCTGGAGGACACACCACAACATTTCTTCTTCTTCTTTTGGTACTTTTTTTGAATGTACATATGTGCATGTGTGTATGCGCGCGCGCACCTGGAAATCATCGAGACCTCTGGTGACTGACCCCTACTGGGGGCCTGGAGGATATTCAGAGAGGTGGCTGAATAAAGCCTGCCCCTGCCTCCCGACTGCTGTTATCCCAAGGAGGTCTCCCATCCAAGTACTTAGCTGGGCTATCCAGGTCAGGGCTACCACAACATTTCTTTGCAGGTCCCCACTAGTATGGACACATTCTCAGTCTGATCCATAGTCGCTACCTTGGCTCTGTCACAGGAATACAAACCTGAAGGGCTTTTGTGGTCATCAGTCCTCTTCCTGTTTCTAGAACAGACACAAAACAAGGGCAGTTGCAGTGAAATTCACTACCATGCTCCCCAGAAAACTGCAACAGTAGGTTTTGAATTCAGACTCAAAGAAAGGAAATGTTGCCCTCCATCCCTGCCCCCCAAGTAAAAGAATAAAGCATAACACTGATTGCATCCTTACACCATCTTCCTTAGACCTGTGCACAAACATTATCTGCTGCCGTGTTTTTTCTACGTTGCCCACAATTTTACAGCCTGCGTTTAAAACACAAGTCTTTCCCACTTAGTTCATCAGACTCCACGGGCAGCACAACAAGAATTCCAGACAGTGACCAGGACAGTAACTAGATTCCAAAAAGCTGCTCTGCCTCATGCAAGAAGTTCGCAGCAGTTCAAGTATATGAAAACTACTGGATTACTTCTATCTACAAACTTGTTACCACACTCAAAGAACTTCCAAAAGCTGATGAGGCAGGATTTCTTTTCACAAAGCCTTGAATCTTCCTTGGCAAGTTTATTTAATAATCCTATTTTTAACTATGCATTTCATTAATTTGTCCAAGAGAAAAATTTTGTCCCACCAAAATTAATCAGGTATATTCCTTCCAATCTCCTGGAAAGCAAACTCATTTTAGTGGCAAGCTGCAGGAGCGTTACACTCCTTGGATAACAATCAGCTGGTGACCCCTGGCCCTAAAGACATCTGGCTGTCCTCGACCAGGGCCAGGGCTTTTTCAGCCCTGGCTCCAACCTGGTGGAACTCTCTGCCAAACACCATCAGGGCCCTGCGGGATCTTATGCAATTCCGTAGGGCCTGTAAGGCAGAGATGTTCCGCCAGGCTTGTGGTTGAGGACAGTGACGCTTTACATCCTGCCTGGCACCCTCCCTCCACTCTCCTCCTCCTCAGACTGATTTACTTCCTCCCCCCCCACACCCACGAGGAGATCAAAGGCCAGAAATGGGAGAAAACTATAATTTTCGCCACTTGATTTTTTAAATTAATGTACTAATGCCAATACTGTTTGTATCTATTGTATATTTCTAATGTCTTTAGTATGCTGTATATAGCCCAGAGCCCTACAATAGTAGGGACTGGCGATTCATAAATGTAGTTGTAGTAGTAGTAGTAGTAGTAGTAGTAGTAGTAGTAGTAGTAGTAGTAGTAGTAGTAGTAGTAGTAGTAGTAGTAGTAGTAGTAGTAATTGTTTTCTACCCCTGGAGTGGAAACCACTGGAACTAAGGACCAGTTTGCACATGGCAGGCCCAACATAAGCCTCTAATGTGTGCTGGGGGATCACCATCAGGCATGGTCAAATAGACCTCACATAAATCCACAGTCAGCATCTCCAAGTGGAAGCTATACAGGCAGCTCCCACAATTTGTGTAATTGCAGTAACTAAGATTAGAGCAGCTGTGATCATGCAGATCATGGAAACTATGAAAGAAGCCCCCCAAGAAGGCATCAGTGGCTGCTTCCCCCCCCCCCCGCCCCAATTGTGTGGAAGTTATTAGCCAAAGTGACAAGTGAAGAAATTAAGCTTTGTGGAAGTTATTAGCCTAAGTGGCAAGTGAGAAAAATAAGCCTGTTTGATGGTTTTGAGCCTAAATAGCAAGTGAGGAAAATAAGTCTGTGTGGAAGTTATTAGCCAAAGTGACAAGTGAAGAAATTAAGCTTTGTGGAAGTTATTAGCCTAAGTGGCAAGTGAGAAAAATAAGCCTGTTTGATGGTTTTGAGCCTAAATAGCAAGTGAGGAAAATAAGTCTGTGTGGAAGTTATTAGCCAAAGTGACAAGTGAAGAAATTAAGCTTTGTGGAAGTTATTAGCCTAAGTGGCAAGTGAGAAAAATAAGCCTGTTTGATGGTTTTGAGCCTAAATAGCAAGTGAGGAAAATAAGTCTGTGTGGAAGTTATTAGCCAAAGTGACAAGTGAAGAAATTAAGCTTTGTGGAAGTTATTAGCCTAAGTGGCAAGTGAGAAAAATAAGCCTGTTTGATGGTTTTGAGCCTAAATAGCAAGTGAGGAAAATAAGTCTGTGTGGAAGTTATTAGCCAAAGTGACAAGTGAAGAAATTAAGCTTTGTGGAAGTTATTAGCCTAAGTGGCAAGTGAGAAAAATAAGCCTGTTTGATGGTTTTGAGCCTAAATAGCAAGTGAGGAAAATAAGTCTGTGTGGAAGTTATTAGCCAAAGTGACAAGTGAAGAAATTAAGCTTTGTGGAAGTTATTAGCCTAAGTGGCAAGTGAGAAAAATAAGCCTGTTTGATGGTTTTGAGCCTAAATAGCAAGTGAGGAAAATAAGTCTGTGTGGAAGTTATTAGCCAAAGTGACAAGTGAAGAAATTAAGCTTTGTGGAAGTTATTAGCCTAAGTGGCAAGTGAGAAAAATAAGCCTGTTTGATGGTTTTGAGCCTAAATAGCAAGTGAGGAAAATAAGTCTGTGTGGAAGTTATTAGCCAAAGTGACAAGTGAAGAAATTAAGCTTTGTGGAAGTTATTAGCCTAAGTGGCAAGTGAGAAATTAAGCCTTTGTGGCTAAGCCTATTTAGAGAAAGAAGAACTGTATGTATCTGAAATCATTACACTTATTAACTTTACTGAAACCTTTATGCAGTTATACTTCTAAATAAACTCTGTTTAAGAGAAAACAGCTGTTTATTTTGAGTAAGGATCCCATTTTACCTCTGAGCCACCTCCGTGTGCTGACTGTAAATCTACCGTATACAACTAAGCCATCCTGTTCTTTGGGTCCAACTAAGAATTCTAAGGCTAGAGTCTTTGGTGGTGGCAAAAACAAGTAGGCTATGCTAAGGAAGGCAAGGAGGCAGCATACACACGTCATCTCAGAACACTACAGGTGTTACACATAAGAGGTCTCAGGAAAGACCAAAAATGTTACACTGCTTTTTCAGAGGAAATGTTCTGTAGGGTAGTGTTTCCCACCCTATGAGTCGCGACCCGTAAGAGAGTCGCAAAGCCTGCTGAAGTGGGTTGTGGGCTCACATTGGCTTATGGCAGCTGTTCCTTTCCCCTCCTTGCCTGGTGCCCAGCTGAACTCACAGTGAATCTCTGAGGTGTGGGTTTTTACCCGATCTCCTTGCCTTGCCGAGCTGCATTTTTTTCCTTTTCTTTAGCCACACCATCCCCATTTCCTTTAAATGTAAACATCACCTAGCTGTTTCTCAGCGGTCCGTTACTTGAGGTGCATTTTAAAAGCCACTCATGCCCGCCTGTTGTTACAGTTGCAACAAGTGGCCAAAGGAATGAACTGCTGACGTGCTGCTCCCTGCTTCAGAGGTGCCTTTTTTTTTGCTGCTGTGCAGAAACAGAATGATCTTCTTGTAATTTCCTCTCATATATTATTTTTCAGTCTAAGAAGGATCTTTTGAATGTGCTCCCCAAGCCTGCATCTCACAAGCTTAAAATGCCAGTTTAATTCCCTCCCTCACACCAGCCATTGGCAGAGACAGAATATGGAGACTTTGGATACGATGTACTGGTCTGAGCTGTTGATTAGAGACAACAGAAGGGGCTTAATGTTTAGGAACAGGTATGTTTCCCAAAAAAAAGTGTTCCACTGAAGTAAAATGTAATGGGGGGGGGGAATCCTTCAGTTCTTAAAACAGTATTGTAAGTGAGAGGACTTCAGGACTGAAATCTGAAGCTTTCAGCTAAATGGGGATTAACCCAAGTAAACCCCAACTTTTTCCCCATATTTTGATCACTTTACAGAAGAAGTAAATGGGATGGGACAGTGGGTCTGTATACCCAGGTAAGGCCAAATTGCTCCCCCTGCTTCTGTGTGTTTTCTCTAAAGTAAGATCCATTTAATTCAATGGGGCTTTCACTTCTATGCAGATATGACAAGGATTGTGCTTTCTGACATGAGTGTAGAAAAGATGCATTAATTCTTGGTGCTATTTTTTAAATTAAATTTTAAACAACCAAAGAAAAATAGATCTGGTAGCCTTCAAGGTTCTACAAGATCTGTTTGCTGTGTCTGTAATTCTTACTGCTCATGAAGCTATAACCTGCAACCATATAGCTGTGTTCTTACATTTGCATTAAAAAAAAAAAGTGAAAACTTTATGTAAGTGCGATAAATATTTCAACAAATTCAACATTAATAGGTGCGCCAAGTAAATTTTTGCTTGGATGACTTCAATTTAAGTAACTTATAAAAATAGGCAAACTTGAAGTTAAAATACATGAAAACAATGGCTGTCAAAAACCTACAGTCCAAAATTCATGTGACAATAAACCAATGGGTTAACATACCATGTGAATTTCAACTTGTGGGTCATTTTATGCTCTAGGGTATGCTGACACTTCAGCTTTTGGCTATACTGTCAACCAGCAGCATTTCAGTCTCATTTGGATTTAGCTCTGATTTACTCGTTTTCATCTCACTACCATAGCCACGACCAATTTAGACCATCTACCACCTCACCAGAGACAGCTGGACACTGGCAACAGAATTGGGTGTTGTCTGCATATTGATGATACATCTGCCCAATTCACATATAAGGTAGGAGGCACCTGTGGCATTCTTAGTTTAATAATAAAAAACAACATACAGGGAAGTGTACTTCCCATTCATTGACAAGTGTAATGCAACAGTTGGGAGTACTTAATTAGAACCCAGAAAACTTGGATTCAAACTTCTGGGCCATGCATTCTATCTCATTCTAAACATCCTCACAGGGCTACTATAAGGATAAAATGAAGGGAGACCTATGAAAGCCATCACTAGCACCTTTGAGGCAGGGTGAGAGAACAGTGCAATAGATAAGATGCAAGTTTACATGGAAGTAAGCCCCAGTGAATCCAGTGGGACTTCTCTCCATTGAAGCAGGCATATGATATTGTTAAAAATAACATGAATGTATATTAATGTATAGAGCTTCTCTCACTAAAAATTCTTAAAGTATGTCTTCACTAATCATTAATAATTTTGCTCCTTTGAACTTGTTTTTAATCACATTACCACCACATTGTGAAAAACATCTAGAGTGATTTCTTCTCCTCTTTCGGGACGTACGGCCTCTGCATTTCTTCATATTCATCAAATGTCTTCAGAATCTATCCATGACCTATACATGAGAAATGAAGAAAGAAGCATGTTTCCTACAACAGTTCTTTCAGTTTCCATAGAGACACTAAATGTTTAACCTCAATATGTTCCAAACTTGTTGGGAAGAAAAGAGCCAGTGTCGTGCAATGGTTAGGAGTGTCGGACCAGGATCTGGGAAACTCTGGTTGGATACTATACTGTCATGGAAGCTTGTTGGGGGATCTGAGACCAGACACACACACACACACTCAGCCTAATCTATGCCACCAGGTTTCTGTGAGGATAAAATGAAGGATAGGAGAATGACGTAATCCACTCTGGGTCCCCGCTGAGGAGAAAGGTGGAGTATAAATAAAGCAAATAAATAAGGAACTGGACTTTGGTACAGCCAACATTTTCACACAACACATATTATTTCTTCACAATGGGAAAAGGAAGAAAGTCTCTTCCTACTTAACGCCTTAATCGGCCCTGAACTCACCCATTTGCAGAAGGATCAGAAAGATGTATATCTTAATTTCCACTGTTAAACTCTAATTAATTTAGAGGCATTAAGAACATTAGAAGAGCCTTGCTGGATAAGACCAGTGGTCGTCTAGTCCAGCATCCTGTTTCACACAGTGGCCTAGTTACTCTGCAAGGGCAACAACAGGCATAGAGACTGAGGCCTTCCCCTGATGTTTCATGTCATCTGCAAACTTGGCCACTATACTACTCACCACCAGTTCCAGACCATTTATGAATCAATTAAATAACACCCGCTTCAATTCCGATCCTTGTAGGATCCAGTGCTTACTTTCCCCCATTGCAAAAACTGCTCATTTATTCCTACTCTTTGCTTCCAGTCATTTAACCAATTTTTAATCCATAAGAGTATTGAACCCATGATTGCTGAGCTTGCTCAGGTGTCTTCATGAGGTACCTTATCAAAAGTCTTTTGAAAGTCCAAGTAAATATCTATAGGGTAACCATTATCCACATGTTTATCCACAAAGAACTCCAAAAGATCGGTGAGGCAGTTACAGTGGGGTGTAACTAATCCTGACTACACTAGCAAGTGACTGCAAAGATGGCTGCACAACTTTCTCCCACAGTAATTTAATCATCCTTTCTTAAAGACTATAGGATAACTAGTTGTCTACCGCCCTACTTTAGCTTAAAGCATTATCAAGTGTATAAGAGCATGCCACTCATTTGAAAGGGCTTATTGCATTCCCACATTCTGGATGTATCTGCAAACGGAGGACACTCTCTCACTGAACACAACACAGGTGCTATATGAAAATAAAGAGGATTTTATTTTATTTTTTATGTATTAGACTTCTGTTCCGCCCTTTCCCAGAGGCTCATGGTGGATTCTTTACAGTTATTAGAAATGTTAGCCTAAACCACAGAGGCAATCCATCTTTAAAACTGACTGAAATGTATATATTAAATTACTCAGTTAAGCTACACAAAGGAAATTATATCAATGGCTAATTATTATTTACATTCAAAAAATGATCTAATTTCCACTGCTACCACAATCTTCTCCTTGAATTTGGTATCTGATTACTCTCTTTAAGGCATACAAGTAATCCCGCCTCTGTCCTTCAGTGAGATGATTGCTGTTACTGTGTTAGCTTGGAGAGGAGCGAGGAATAACCTCAAGTTGTCCATATAAAATGTACACCCTCAGTTTGTACTCCTGATCTTTTACAGACTTTGGCTGCGATCCTAAACACACATCACTAAATCCTAGGCATGTTTACTCTCAAATCTCAGTCAAAACTGTACTTGTAAGCAACTCCGCGTACCTTTGCTGGGAAATAAATTTCATAGAAATCAGAGGGGCATACTCGTCACTACACAGCTACCTAAACTCTCCACAGCCAGAGCTCACTTCGTTAGGAGCCAACCTTTTTCCTTCTTCCGACTCCATCGCCACGCGCCAAAGCCAAGCCCAGCCCAGATTCCTCCCCAGACCTTCAGGAAGAGGAAGCGGCGGGCGCTGGTTCGTGTCAGCCAGTGATCTGGTGAGACAGAGAGGCGTTTGCTTCGACACAAGCTTTCCATTGGGTAGGCCTTCCTGTCCCGCAATAACGCTGTCTCAGTGTTGAAACGAACAAACGACGTATCTGAACTTTGTCCTGCTGCTTGAGACCGACGCGAATCAAACAACGTATTTGTAAGTGGTTGTAGGAGTTACAGCAGGAGTGAAGATTAGACAGGTTAGCCGCTTATTTCTTAAAATAATATTCTTTTTCTTACCAATTTCTGCGTTTAAGTTTTCCCTTTCTGGCATGCTGGCTGCGAGCTGTTCTTTGCTTTTAGATGTGTTAATGGTTATTAATCACAGAGAACTTATTGCTTTTTTTTAAGCTAACAACTATTGTTGTAATAAATTATATGTCGCCTTCTACTATTTCTTTTTCTAGTCGTTTGGTTAGGAAAATGTCCAGCACTACGGTAGCCGTCGTGACCGGGGCCAACAAAGGCATTGGGCTTGCTATTGTGCGGTCTCTGTGCAAGCAGTTCTCCGGAGATGTGTACCTGACTGCCCGGGACGCGGACCGGGGGAAGTCGGCAGTGGCACAGCTGCAAGCAGAAGGGTTGAAGCCACTGTTCCACCAGCTGGACATCAATGACTTGCAGAGTATCCGAAGCCTGCGTGACTTCCTGAAGGAGAAGTATGGAGGCTTGAATGTGCTCGTCAACAACGCAGGGATTGCTTTCAAAGGTAAAGTGCGGGCTGAAGAAACTGCCTCGAATGCTTGGTGAAAACTTTGAGTCCAGTGGCACCTTTAGGCTCAGCAAAGTTTAATTCTGGGTATAACCTTTTGTGTGCATGGACTCAAACTTTGTTCTGTTGCTTCAGACCAACACAGCTACCTGCCTGAATCTATCAAATGCTTGATGTTACATCCACAGAGCTGGAGCTGTTGTTTGATACAAGGACTGTATAAAGTATATATATGATTAAATTGGACAGTCACTCTATGGTAGTTTCTGTTGTTACCTTTTTCACTTTGATTGTAAGGACAATGAGTAAAGAACAAATGAGTAGAAGAGAAATATTAAAGGAAGGAAGGTTTCCTTTCTTCGAAATATGCAGTTTTCAGAGTTCCATCACATCTCTGTGTAGTAAAAGATTCCCTTACATTCATTTAAAGCCATTTTAAACTGTTTTCTAACAAGATGACCCAAAAACCACATTTAGCTTGATTTACATTCTGGATCTGATTGGAGATGTTACCTAAATGTTTTTTGTCATATGACATTTCCTATATACTATTCTAAATTTGCTATTTCACACAAAATTCACTGTTTTTATTGCATCTTTTCAGAATGTCTTTAATATTTATGACAACGCACACCTTTCTGGTAAACAATACATCTTGTCTGACACCCAAAATAACTTTTAAGTGTAGAAGAAACAGAGATGGGCTAGGACTTGAAGTTTAGTTATTCAGATTTGGTCCTTACTCTTGTTTCTCTCTCCATCTGAAAACCAGTTGCAGATACAACTCCATTTGCTACACAAGCAGAAGTCACACTGAGAACAAACTTTTTTGCATTGAAGGATGTCTGCACAGAGTTGCTACCCCTACTGAAGCCTAATGGTAAGTGCACCACAGTGGGAGAGAAATCACCATGCTGTGTCCAAACAAGTAAATCCTTTCCTCTGTCATGTGGGATGCAGCAAAAACTTATAAACAGCCAGTAGATAAAACCATTACAGAAGAAATCTCTGAAGTCTCATGTTTTTAGTTTAACAGTAATAAATGTTTCCTAGTTTAGTTTAGTTTTTAGTTTAACAGTAATAAATGTTTCCATTTCCTAGAGAGCAGTCCTCAGAGGCTATACTCAGAGGCAAGTTTCATTTTATTCAATGGAAATTAATCCCAGGAAAGTGTTGTTAGGATTGCCCTGGCTAGGGCCTTTTAGGATTGTTCTCCTAGACTACAGAGCAAGTACACTTGCATTTCTGATCTTAGCTACGTGTATTTTGTAGCTAACCCTACTGGTTTCAAGGGAACATAACAACTGAACTGCAGGCTGTGGAAGGTCGGTAGTTCAGCAGTTCAAGACCCGAGTGTGCCGCATGACGGAGTGAGCTCCCGTCTCTAGTTCCAGTTCCTGCCAACCTAGCAGTTCAAAAGCAAGAAATTGCCAGTAGATAAATAGGTACCGCTTAGGTGGGAAGGTAACAGCGTTCTGTGCGCCTAGGTGTTTAGTCATGCCGGCCACATGACCATGGAAACGTCTTCAGACAGCACTGGCTCTTCGGCTTTGAAACGGAGATGAGCCTAGAGTCGGATTAGACTGGCTTTCGAGCAAGGGAACCTTTACCTTTACTTTACTTTTTAAACCTATTTGGGATTGGGATTCTAATCAAAGTCCTTATTCAGGCTTCTTGATGATTTAGTATTGAAGTGTTTATTAATGTTAACAGTGACCTTGATACTCTACAGAACCTCAGTAGCAAGCCCTGTGTGTCCTGGTTGCCCACAGTCTGCAAAGCACCTACTGGTTTGTGAATATCTGCTCCTGAGTAGGGTAGGGACCATGAGGGAGCATCCTGATGCCAGAGAATAGCAGTTAGTATTCCTTTCTGAACACTAGAGAAAGTTCTAACTCCATTTTTTATGCATGCGCAACGTATTAAAGACTCAAGCGGCAGAAGCATACTCAAAAGATCATTTGGCCCAAATTGCTGCTCTATAGTAGATGTCTCTGCCTAGCAGCTCCCATTCATTCCACACATTAACTCTCTTCCAGGGTGATCCAATAATAGCACAGGTAGACAACAGGAAGAATATATAGCCCAGTATCAGAATTGTTTTTGCAGTACAAAAAATTATTTTGTAAAGTCACCCAGCGATCATGAAGAGGTTAGCTATGCTTCCTGAGGAAACCAAATTCTTGATGGTTGGTAAACCCAACCCTAAACAAAAACTCATTTTGAGTTTTACTTCAACAGGATTTGGGGGTTTGTAAATAGTATCATATGGCCATAAACTCTCTTCCTGTTCTGTTGGTTTCTTTTTTAATAGGCAGGGTTGTGAATGTATCCAGTATTGCAAGTGTCCGAGCACTCGCTGGGTGCAGCCAAGTCCTGCAGCAGAAGTTTCGCAGTGACACGATTACAGAAGAGGAGCTCGTGAAACTCATGGAGAAATTTGTGGAGGACACCAAGAAGGGAGTGCATGAGAAGGAAGGTTGGCCAAATAGTGCTTATGGGGTGTCCAAAATTGGAGTGACAGTCTTGTCCAGAATTCAAGCACAATTGCTGAATCAGACGAGAAAAGGTGATGGTATTCTACTGAATGCCTGTTGCCCTGGGTGGGTCAGGACTGACATGGCTGGTCCCAGTGCCCCCAAAACTCCTGATGAGGGAGCTGAGACTCCAGTTTATTTAGCCCTGTTACCCCCTGGTGCTGATAGACCTCATGGCCAATTTGTTAATGAAAAGAAAGTACAGCCATGGTAAATGTGCCTTTCATTACTTCTACATATGCACACTGGAGATCTTAGAACCCTGACTCAATCTAGAAAGAGCAACTGCAGCCACAGGCATCTGTAGCTTAAATTTACCAGGATGCAGTGGAGAAAGAGAGAGAGCGACCCACATAAAACAATTCCATAACACATAGAACGTCATGTGTGGTCTTTTTAAAACGCCTGTGCAGCCTCGAATCAAATGGAAATCCTTAAAAGATAATGTGTATGTATCACTTTTCTCTGTCAATATTGTTTTCTGTAACGTACTAATTAAAAACTTACATGAAAATGAATGTGAAAACTGCAAAATAAAATATTATAATATTTTTGCCTACTTTGAGGGAGAAGGGAGAACTAGCCTTACTGAATGTAGAAAGACTGTTCAGACACAGATTCGTGCTTCTGGAGATGCACACTTCAGTGCTGGGGTGAGGTGAAACACATATTCTTCTGAAAAAATAAGCATAATTTTATAGCATAAGAAAGAAGTCTAACTATATTATACTCAAGCTAGAATTGTTGGAGCCATTTTTATTCTGTTATGTTTGCTATGATAACAGATGATACAAAAGAAAATACCACAATTATCTAAAAATAAGATGACCCTGAATATAAAACAAACCCTGTGAAAATGATTATATACAAAAGGTTATTTTAATACTGAACGTATAACTGGTATACAGATTTAAGATGGTCCCCTTGATAGCATATGTGGTAAAAAACGTAGTCTTCCTTTCAAGATAGTAAGATTGCAGCACAATGTTGGAGAAGAGGAGTAAAATATGGCAAGTGAGCCAAGCTTGTGAAATGACCAAATTCACAAATGTTGTTGAAGCAACTCTCTTCACCCCCACAGGGAAAGGTAATTTAAAATAATCCAAGTGGAGGGAGTAGTTTTCCCATGTGAACAGACCTTCATTTGTTATGTATTACCTTACTAATCATGATTCAGCATGTTTGCTCTTAACTATATAAAAGATAACTGGTATTGGACAGCTGTCCAATTTGTTGTTTTCTCATTTTTATATAAGGGGGGTAAATCCAGGCTTTTAATAGGAAAATTATTTAAACTATTAGCTAATATTCTTACTCTGTAACTTGCCTTTGTGATGCCACTTTGCCTTTGTGAATGAAGGAACGTATTAATAGTGTAATCCTATACAGAGTTACTCCACCATAAACCTATTGATTTCAGTGGGCTCAAACTGGAGCAACTTGCATAAGAATGTACTCTGCTATATGTTACATAAAAACACATTCAGAGAAAGGTTTTGATGAAATGTACTTTGGTAAACTACAGCTGGAGAAACTATGGGAAAAATTGTCTGCTGCCAAAATTTAAACACAAGATATTGCTTCCACAGAATGAAAAGGGGAGCCTTGGATGTAGAATTCTAAAATATTTAAAAGTTGTGTTTTGATTTATTCACTACTAGGAATAAGGCCCATTGTGGAAATAAATACAACGAACTCTAGAAAGAGGCTCTGGGCCCTGGCCTTGGGCACTCGGCGTCAATTTGCTGTGGTGACCTCAGCAGGGTATAATGACACAGAGCTTACCGTTTTCTCCAGGGGAACTGACCCTGTCTTCTTCCCAGCCAACCATCATAAGAACATAAGAGATGCCAATGTTGGATCAGGCCAAAGGCCCATCCAGTCCAACACTCTGTGTCACACAGTGGCCAGAAATACCAGTGCCATCAGGAGGTCCACCAGTGGGGCCAGGACATTAGAAGCCATCCCACTGTTGACCCCCTATAAGCACCAAGATGACAGAGCATCACTTGCCCCAGAGTCCCTATCTATACCCTGTGGCTAATAGCCACTGATGGACCTCTGCTCCATATGCTTATCTAATTCCCTTTTGAAGCCGTCCATGCTTGTAGCCGCCACCACTTCCTGTGGCAGTGAATTCCAAGTGTTAATCACTCTTTGGGTGAAGAAGTACTTCCTTTTATCCGTTCTAACCCGACCGCTCAGCAATTTCATGGAGTGCCCACGAGTTCTTGTATTGTGAGAAAGGGAGAAAAGTACCTCTTTCTCTACCTGCTCTTTCCCATGCATAATCTTAT